AAAAACTAAGAAGGCTCAGGGGAGGAGGGTAGGGGGATGGGTTAGCCTGGTGATGGGTATTAAAGAGGGCACATTCTGCACGGAGCACTGGGTGTTATGAACAAACAATGAATCATGGAACACTACATCAAAAACAAATGATGTAATATATGGTGATTAACATAACAATAAAAAATTAAAAAAAAAGAAGAAGTAAAAACTAAGAAGGCTCTTAAAAGTGTCTTTGGTTTATGATATTCAAGTTCTGGTAAAAGGAACTCATTTGCAGCTCGTGTTGGTGCCCTCAGACAGCCTGCTTGGCCAGCTCTCCAGGCCATAGGAAGTGTATGGCCTTTTGAATGGCCTGGAAGTGATGGCACTCACCTGTGGTGATATGCCAGGTGGGAGGTGCACCAGTGATCCACTCAAAGACCCATTGCAAAAGGAACTGATGATGCACATGGCCTTAGACAAGATGCTAATGTACCTGCTTCAACATCCCGATCTGGAGGAGAGCAAATCTGGAGTCCAGGGGGAGAAATGGGTATATCTTGCCATTAATCCTTAGAGTAATGAAAAACAATTACAGGCACACTTTGGAGGTATTGCGGCTTCAGTTTGAGACCACCATAATAAAGTGAATATCGCAATAAAGGGAGTCAAATTAATATTTTGTTTTCCCAGTGCACAAAAAAGTTGTATTTACACTATACTGTAGTCTATGAGGTGTACAACATTATGTCTAAAAATACAATGTACATACCTTAATTTAAAAAATACTATATTGGTAAATAATGCTAAGCATCATCTGCGCTTTCAGTGAGCAGTAATCACTGATCACAGATCACCATAATGGATATGTATAATGAGAAACTTTGAAATATTGCAAAAATTATTAAAATGTGACAGACACCAAGTGAGCAAATGCTGTTGGAAAAATGGCAGTGATAGACTCGTTCCATGCAGGGTCCCCACAAACCTTCTTGTTGTAAAAAATGCAGTATCTGTGAAGTGCAGTAAAATGATGTATGTATGTGGTTAAGCAATTATTTTTATTTTATTTTATCTTATTTATTTATTAGAGAGAGAGCACGAGCAGGGAGGGCAGAGGGAGAGAGAGAATCTTAAGCAGGCTCCACGCCCAGTGCAGAGCCTGATGCGGGTCTCGATCTCACGACCCTGAGATCATGACCCGAGCTGAAGTCATGAGTCCAATGCTTAACTGACCGACCCACACAGATGCCCTTGTTAAACAATAACTTTTTAGGCTGGCCTTTTTTTGTTGTTGTTTTAAAACTTTTATTATTTTTATATAAATAAATTGAATTTTAATGACTTCATGGATTTTTTTTATTAAAGTGTACTTGACATATAACATTATATTGGTTTAAGGTGTACAACATAATGGTTCAATATTTATATACATTGTGAAGTAATCACCACAGTAAGTCTAGTTACCATCTGTCTTCATAGAAAGTCACCCCCCCAATTTTTTTTCTTGTGATGAGAACTTTCAAGATCTACTCCAGGCTGTCCTTTTTTGAAATGCCATACAAAAACATTAAATCTGGGAGATTTAATAAAGCAGAGGCATTATAATAAAAATTAAGACTTATAAAATGTGTGTCATAGAAAGAAAATTTCAACCCTTTCGACCTACGGTATGTAACATACATTTTTACACTGTGATGCAGTACTAATATACAGGTTCATTCTGTAGATATATGTACGTGTTTCAGAATCAAAATTTCACAAAACAATCTTTACTCCTACTAAGTAGGATGCACTCTGGCTCATTCCATTCTATTTTATCCTATTTTGTTATTTTAAAAAAAACCAGCCAAACACGCTGTTCATGAGGCATTAAATTGATTTCACCAGAGAGTGGTGACATTGAACAATCTTGGGATGATGGGAAGAGCCAATCAGAGTACTCGACATTTTGGGTCAAATGGGGGCAGTCTCCTGTGCTGAGCAAATCCAACTCTTTCTTGGGATTTCCCAGACCTGGAGCTTGACCACAGCTGCTTTTCTTTCTTTTTATGGATATGAAGAGTGAGGCTCCAGAACAGACAAGTCTGTTGCCTCTCGGAGACTAAGAAAATGAAGTGGAAATGTAAGAAGACAGTAAAAATGAGTTTAATGTGTTTTGTTTCATTGTGTTTGGTTTGGAGAGATTTGGATACAGTCTGTGGTGTTCAGAACTGTGTTTGTTCCTGCTGCAACCTCCCTACTGTCTGTGGCCTAGCTCAATCTTCACCTTCTCTTCTTCTTTTCTTCTAAAACCATTTCGGTTGGATTCCTGTCACTTCGAATCACAAGTGTCTGATGACTAGAGGCCACAACTAATTGAATACAATCAAAACTTAACCTTGGCTGCAATGGCCAGTAAATGAGTTTGGCCCCTAATCCTCTTTTGTAGCAACAAGAGGTGTTGAATGATCTTGCTCCTCATCCTGATTCAGCACTGAGAAAAGAAGTGAGTATCTGAGCGGGAGAGGGAAAGATCAAAAGGGATTGAACCACATCGAAAGCTTTAATATAAATTTTGGAACCTGAAAGAAGCCAAGTCAAGCCTGAGGCAAACTCCTCATCTTCATAAAGGTCGCAGAGGGCAAAGGAACAAAAGAAAAAGAAGATAGAGGGAAATTACCCTTTGCATTTTTCTCCAAGATTTGAAACCTAGCTATACTTTAAATGACTGACATGGTCACTGAGAAACAAAAATGTTTCAGATAAGATTCGAAACACCCATATTTCACACACCAGGCCCAGGGGCACATCCAATCTTTACCTTCCTCTCCCAAGGCAGCCTCTAGGAATGAGGAAACCCGTCAACCCACATGTAAGTAGTAATTCACACTTAGGTTGTGGAAATATATTCTTCGATCTGGTAACTCAACACCATCAACAAAAATTATTAAGCAAGTACAATTCAACATCCTTAAAGATAGAGCAGCAAAGTTAATGGAAAAACTAGTGTCCTCCCCAAATACGCAAGTATTAGTATAAATATTTAAATTAGATAAATGAATAACAACAGAAATATTTGGTGAATAACATTCTTTTTTTATTAATTTTTAATAGTTGACATACAGTTTTATTAGTTTCAGGTGTATGATATTCAACAATGTTCAACAATTCTATACATTATCATTGCTCATCATGAGAAATGTACTCTTTAATCCCCATCACTATTTCATCCATCCCTCCAGAATGTTATAAACATTCTTACAACAAGAATCAGATGCATGAAAAACAAAGTTTTCTTAGAAATGACAAATATTCCAAGACTCCTTGGGTGATTGGATTCACAATTCTATATTTTACCAGCAAGTTACTTAACCTCTCTGTAAAATGGGCATAGTAACAGTACCTTCCATAGGGGTTTGCTGTGAGTGAGCAGTAAAAATGCTATTGTATGTAAAGCGTTCAAAATGGTGCCCAGTACATATTTAGTGTTAAATAAGTGACCCCATCCAAAGGAGTCACTGAAAAGGGGGTGAGGGTGGAGTAGAATAAGAATTGGAAAGGAAGAGACAACCATTACCTTTATTTGAAAATACATTCAGCTAGCAAGTTCTATGGAAAATCATGTTGGAATACTGATTGGAATTGTGTTAAACCTATGGGTTATCTGGGGAAACCTGAGATTTTTACAATTCTGAATGTTACTGTCCATGAAAATGTTATGTCTCTATATTTAGTATTTATTTCTAATTTAATACCTTGCAATAAAGTTTTGCAATTTTCTACATAAAGATGTGCCATATTTTTGTTAGATTTATTCCTAGGCCTTATTTCCTTGTGTTGCTACTATGTACTTTTATTGTTGTTATGAATTATAGCTCTTTTTATAAGATCATTTTTTTGTTTCAAGCTGGTAACTAAAAATTCCAATCTAACTTTAAATGTCCCTTTTATAGCTGTCAAACTTGCTGAACACTTATGAATTATAATAATTTATGAATAGAATTTTAGTTTTGCCACGTAGACAATCATATCACCTATCAACAATTATAGTTTTACTTCTTTTCCAATCATTTCACGTTTCTTTCTTGTGTTATTGTATTGGTTGCGCCTTCCAACATGGTGAAGAGATGAGTAGCCAGCACCTCTTTTATGTACCGAATTTTAACAGGGGGTTCACCTTTGAGTGGAATGTTTGTTGCAGGTTTTAAAGATACTCTTTGATTTGAATTTAATTTGAATTTAGTTTTATTCTCAGTTTCCCAGGAATGCTTTTCCTTTTCATTTTGTTGAATTGCACATAGTAATCTTGTCAAGCTGTTTCCTTGACATGGATTACTACCTCTAACTTTTTAAATTTAATTATATTTGATTATTTTGGATAAGTTAGATTTTTAATAGCTTTAGTTATGAATATCATTACATGACAGCTCAGAGGTGTGAAGAATAATAATAACAATGATGGCAACTGACTTTCATTTATTGGTTTTCTATTATATGCAAAGTAAGCTGCGTGGTTTTGTTTAGTTGTATGATTTACTCCTGCTTCTTTCAATGATCTCCAGATAAGTGAGCATCAGCAGGTAAAATACATTTGTTCCAAGTCCCAGGCAACCAGTAAAGGTGCCTGGAAAAAACTCAGTGTGACACTGTCTTACTTGATAGCTAGGATACAAAACAAATAGCCACTTTCTTTTGTTTACTATCCGATCTGGAAGCACATAACACGTCATCTCGTTAGCATTCCTAATTTTCTTCCATATCTTCTCCTGAAAATTATATTTGTCACACTTGTATTTTTTTTTTCCTATGGATGCTATCCTCAATAGGATATGATTTTGCACTTTTAGCCCTGTACTCCCAGTACTGGAGTTTGCTAAAATAGGAGCCACTGAAGCTGGAAAGTAGACTGGCAGAAAGCCATGTCTAAGGCAAAGGCAAGGAGTATTTGCAGGGTAGCAATCCAACACGTAATTGAATGCGTTGTATAGCTGACAGAGACATCATGCTGCTCAGCTGATAGAAGACAAACTCATAGATTTTCAGAGAGCTTGCTGAAGCTGTCGCAGGGGTGGATCCTGAGCTGCCGAAGCCGCCGTCCTGAACTTCCGCGTGGGCTCCTCTAATCCCATTGTTTCTTTTAGATTCGCTCGGGCCTATCCGCCCTCGGTGCCCGAAATTCGGGCTGGGCGGAACCTCGGCCTGGGCCTAGCGGCTTAACAGTAGCAACAGCGGCAGCAGCAGCAGCCCCCCTCTTTCCGAATACAAGCACCCCAGGGGCCCGAAAGCCCACACAGACGTTTAGAGAGAATGGCAGACGATATGGATATTGAAGCAATGCTTGAGGCTCCTTACAAGAAGACTTGCCTAACGATATCTCACCTCTACTCCCACGAGTTCGCCTTTGATTCCAGTGTGAACTGTCAATCATAAGGATGAGAACAAGTTGAGCAGTGCTAACGGCCATGAAGAACGTAGCAAAAAAGTACTTTGCATTTAAATTTTAGATCTTCTTACATGGAAGAGGTCAAATCCAGTTATAGCAAAACACCTTTACAGCAGAGGCCATATAACCAAAAAGTCCAAAGGCCCAGCCCAGTGGACCATTTACTTCAATGATGTTCAGTACAAAATTCCACTGCCACTAAAGACTTTGGAAAGTCCCTTTTAAGTTGTAACAGGATTTGACTATTAGTGTGGATTTTGATAACCCTTCTTTAGTTAATGTTCTTTCAAGTTGCATTTTGTTATAGAGAAGAATACTGCTTGCTTAAATTTTTGTCTGGGCTTTTATGAAGAGGATCGTGCTTCTGAATGTCTTAACAAAGTTTCTGCCTCCTTGGAAAGCTCTACATCTCCTTGTGATTGGAGTGTGGGTTTCAAGATTCCAGAAGGAGGAAAAAAAGCAAGAGCAGAAGTCGTAGTCATGAACGAAAAAGAAGCAAAAGTAAGGAACGGAAACGAAGTAGAGATAGAGAAAGGAAAAAGAGCCGTGAAAGGAAGCGAAGTAGGAGCAAAGAAAGGAGACGGAGCCGCTCAAGAAGTCGAGATCGCAGATTCAGAGGCCGCTACAGAAGTCCTTACTCCGGACCAAAATTTAACAGTGCCATCCGAGGAAAGATTGGGTTGCCTCATAGCATCAAATTAAGCAGACGACGCTCTCGAAGCAAAAATCCATTCAGAAAAGACAAGAGCCCCGTGAGGGAACCTATTGATAATCTAACTCCTGAGGAAAGAGATGCAAGGACAGTTTTCTGCATGCAGCTGGCAGCAAGAATTCGGCCAAGGGATTTGGAAGAGTTTTTTTCTACAGTAGGAAAGGTTCGAGATGTGAGAATGATTTCTGATAGAAATTCAAGACGTTCCAAAGGAATTGCATATGTGGAATTTGTTGATGTTAGCTCAGTGCCTCTAGCAATAGGATTAACTGGCCAATGTGTTTTAGGAGTGCCAATCATAGTACAAGCTTCACAGGCAGAAAAAAACAGAGCTGCAGCAATGGCAAACAATCTACAAAAGGGAAGTGCTGGACCGATGAGGCTTTATGTGGGCTCATTACACTTTAACATAACTGAAGATATGCTTCGGGGAATCTTTGAGCCTTTTGGAAGGATTGAAAGTATCCAACTCATGATGGATAGTGAAACAGGCCGATCTAAGGGATATGGATTTATTACGTTTTCTGACTCAGAATGTGCCAAGAAGGCTTTGGAACAACTTAATGGATTTGAGTTAGCAGGAAGACCAATGAAAGTTGGTCATGTTACTGAACATACTGATGCTTCCAGTGCTAGCTCATTTTTGGACAGTGATGAACTGGAAAGGACTGGAATTGACTTGGGAACAACTGGTCGTCTCCAGGTAATGGCAAGACTTGCAGAAGGTACAGGTTTGCAGATTCCACCAGCAGCACAGCAGGCTCTACAAATGAGTGGCTCTTTGGCATTTGGTGCTGCGGCAGAATTCTCTTTTGTTATAGATTTGCAAACAAGACTTTCTCAACAGACTGAAGCTTCGGCTTTAGCTGCAGCTGCCTCTGTTCAGCCTCTTGCAACACAGTGTTTCCAACTTTCTAACATGTTTAACCCTCAAACAGAAGAAGAAGTTGGATGGGATACAGAGATTAAGGATGATGTGATTGAAGAATGTAATAAACATGGAGGAGTTATTCATATTTATGTTGACAAAAATTCAGCTCAGGGCAATGTGTATGTGAAGTGCCCATCAATTGCTGCAGCCATTGCTGCTGTCAATGCATTGCATGGCAGGTGGTTTCCTGGTAAAATGATAACAGCAGCATATGTACCTCTTCCAACTTACCACAACCTCTTCCCTGATTCTATGACAGCAACACAACTACTGGTTCCAAGTAGAGGATGAAGGAAGATATAGTCTCCTATGTACATAGCTTTTTTTCTTTCTTGAGAATTCATCTTGAGTTATCTTTTATTTAGATAAAAATAAAGAGGCAAGGGTCTACTGTCATTTGTATACAATTCCTGTTACCTTGAAAAAGAAAAACTGTTAACAGGAATGCAGTGTGCTCATTATCCCTAACTAGCAAATCCCACTGTATACAAAGCTGTTCTCTTGTTCTGCCTTTTAAATGTACATGTAGAAATTTACATTAAGGATCTATAGGAATAGCTCTAGGGGGGAACAAATGTGCTTAATGTAAAAAGGCAGACAGGGACGTAATTATGTTTTTAATGTTTCAGAAGCCTAACTTTTTACACAGCAGTTACATTTCACGTTTCACTAATGTTGATACTTGGCTAATGGTTTAGCAGATTCTGGAGTACACATTTAGTGTATGGAAATTCAAGACAGCTAAAGGGCTGTTTGATTAACATCTCATCTTGCATCGTGATCAATTGGCAAGAAAAGGAGTTTTCAAGATTACATTTCTGGATAGTATCTTTTCAATTAATGTATCTGTAAAAGTTTCTTTGTAAATATTATGTGTTCTGGTGTGTCTAAGATTCCAAACAAAATGATCCCTGCATTTCCTCAAGATGTTTAGTGACAGTCTGGTAAGCAAAGCAGTCTGAGCAAGAAATAGGAAATGCAGAAATAGGTTTTGTCTGGTTGCATATAATCTTTGCTCTTTTTAAGCTCTGTGAGCTCTGAAATATATTTTTGGGTTACTTCAGTGTGTTTGACAAGACAGCTTGATATTTCTATCAAACAAATGACTTTCATATTGCAACAACCTTTGTAAGAACCACTCAAATAAAATTCTCTTAAAAAGGCAAAAAAAAAAAAAAAAGAAGACAAACTCATAGAAATGAGGTCCCACTGTGAGCTTGATGACCCCATCTGCTATAAGGACAGTGAGGCAAAACAGGAGTTTGGGACAGAAAAGGATTTGCTGGAACGATGATGAAGACGTAAGGTTCTAAGTAGACGTAACAATACAGCATGTGGGTTCATGGTTTAAAGTATGCTTGAGGGGCGCCTGGGTGGCTCAGATGGTTAAGCATCTGCCTTCAGCTCAGGTCATGATCTCAGGGTCCTAAGATCGAGTCCCATGTCAGGTTCCCTGCTCAGGGGGGAGTCCGCTTCTTTCCCTCCACCCCTGCCCTCTTGCTCACGCGTGCTCTCTCTCTCAAATAACTGAATAAAACCTTAAAAAAAAAAAGTATGTTTGAAAAAGCAGTCAAGCTCCAAAGAATAACCATTACTATTTAGTAAAGTCTTTTGTTCCAGGATTCAAGCTCATCCGGTGTGTGAGCTTGACAGCAGCTTCTCCATCACCTGAGTCACTGAGTGTGCACAGAAAGGGTATTTCCTCTGCTGGGGCCCCTCCCGGCCTCCTAGACTAGAAACAACAGGCTTTCTATGCTCATGATAGGATGGTACACTGGAGTCCTCTGAAATATTACCTAGAATAAGAGCCAACACCATGCTGCATTGTCATGTGACTAATTATTAATGACTGTTGTTTACAGTCTTAGGAAAACAACTCTGAGGATAATTTGAACCTGATCAAAGGAGAAACCTGCCCTTTATCTTCTCCAATAATTCACATGACGAAAACAAAGTAATTTAAAAACTAACATTTTTCAAAAGGAAAGCATACATTTAAAAAAGGTGGACATTACAATCTCAGTCAAGGAACTATTTCAACCTATATTCAAGTTTTTAAAAATTAATTATAGACATTAGTGGATTTTTCCCACACAACGACAACATGAATATATTTCTACTGAGTCCAGTTCATAGAATGGAAGAACAAACAACCCAGGGGCATTTTAAAATGAAGTTAAAAATTAAATCACAAAACCAAAGCCACATTTTCTGACTTGGCTACTGATTCGGGGTTAGTAATATTTCACGGGATACTTGAATTCGGAAGTTGTTACTCATTTATCTCAGGGTCCAGAGTCCCTCAAAAATGACTCAGGGAAAAATCTTTTACACAAGAAGGCGAAATTGTCATCCCTTCCCCCTGCATAATGAACTGAGATTGTCGGTGCTTAAATTCCCAAAGCGCAAGTGGACAAATCCATTTTTCTTTTCTCTTCTTATCTTATAAAGACTATAATAAAACTTACCTGAGAAAAGCGTGAGAATGACATAGAATGAATGCCTGGAAGACAGTAGCTCTGAATTCCTGAGACCCGGGCTCCTCCTTCTGAATTCTTGAGCTCAGGGATGGACTCTGCCAGGCTCCCACTCCTCCACCAAGGTGCTGGGTGGTGGTTTACACCCCCACAATACAGTTCAAGTAGGTATAAAGAGTCAAACTCAAAATCCCAAGGAGATCTCCTCGGGGGCCATAAACTAAGAAGGAACTTAAAGTCAAGGTGATGAGCAGGACTTGAAGCAAGGAGGGTTCCCAGGAGCGCAGAACCAGGTTTAATTTTCCAGGGCGGGAGACTGACTCGAATGTTCTCATAGAGAAAGGTGTGCAGGCGCTGAGCATGCAGGGAGCTGGAAAGGAACTAGCTACATAAAGCTGGGAATCTGAAAGCGTTGCCTCGTCCCTGAGATGAGGATAAGCAGAACTCCGAAAAAGCTTGGAGAGCAGCGAGGACGTTTTCAACCACATGAGGGTAGAGATGAAAACAAGTCAAGCAAAAGAAATTGAAAGGGATTGGCCTCCACGGTGCCCATGTGTGTGTCCCAAATTCATGCTGTTTATTGTCCAAAGTGAGTTACAGAAAAGTCCATACTGCATGACAGCAGGTATACAAATGTAGAAATAAGAGAAAGCATTATTTTATATAGCTTAGGAACACACCTATAGATAGTAAAAATCAAAGAATATGGAGAAACCTCACTAATTTACGTGAAATGTTTTTGTTACGGGGGTGTGTGTGTGTGCGCGCACGCGCGCGCGCGTGCAAAAGCGCGCATGCGTGCGTATGCGCACAAAACAGGACCAGAGAACGCAAAAGTGAGGTCCAAGTTTATCTGTAATACTATATCTCATGTATTTCAAAGAAAAAATTTATCAAAGGGAGAAAAACACAAAGAAGAAAAAGGTATTCGACTTTTGCATTTAACACTTAATTATACTTTCACCTTTTCAGAACAGAACTGAAGTCATTAAAGATACCACGAAACAAAGCAAGAACCGCGTGCGGATGTCTGAACTAGAGGACATGCCTCAGGTTTTGAGGAGCCTCGAGACGCTCACATCAGCTGAGAAGGAGGCAGAGCTGCAGAGGGGCTTAGACTCCAGGTTCTCAAGGCACACATTTCTGGAAACTTCCTCAGAGGCTGCTTGACAAGAAGCACTTTTCCTTCAATTTCTAGTTTGATGAATCTCGTTAATGATTAGCAATCCCAGCCCCAGGGTAGCAAAGAATCCTCCGCGGCCTGCCAGCAGGTGAAGGGCCAGAGCGTGAAGAAGGAGCAGGTGCTCAGTAGAAGTCCTCCCTCAGACACTAAGTCGGTAAGTCACTTATCCCGGTGTTGATATGCAAATTCTAAGGGTCCTTTCTGTGTAACAACGGACAATTTTGATATACTCCCCAAGTCCCAGGTTTTCTCATACTGATTTTTTAAAAAGGTGAGTGAAAACGTGAACACCCCTATTTTCTTAACCAGGCCGGGGGAAGAGAGGTATAAGCAGGGAGCTGAAGTTGTGTGTCTGATCACCCATAAACATGCGTAAAATGTCAACTGTGCAAGACATTTCCAAGAAACAGGCACTCTCGTGAGGTGTTTGAAAGCTGAATTTAGGCGATTAAATTCTGGGGCTCGTCAACGAGTATCAGCTCTTTTATTTACCAACTGGCTGACCTGGACAAAGAGGGTCAACATCTCCACCTAGGGTTGATGTACAGTAGTCATCAACAGCGGCTGGATAACTCGCTATACAACAGCCAGCCGGACACACAGGAAGAGTTGTAGGGTGGTTGCAAAGAAATACTTCAGAAAAGAAAAAATGGGCAACCACATCTCCATCCCTTACACAAAGATTCGCTGCCGCCAAGAAGTCAATAGTAGGCTTTTCTCCTGGACAGGCTCACTGTGGCAACAGGCAATTCCTGGGGCCTGAAGGACTCCAGCCTTTTGAAATCAAGTTCGCCCCCTTGATTTCCCTCCTACATCAAGTAGGGTCCAGGACTTTGACACAGACAGGGCTGAGGGTGGCTCTGGTCCAAGACAGCATCTAGAGGAACACTGAGTCATGAAGCAAGGATATGAGGGAAAGCTAACCAAACCAGGATGGCTGGGGATGGAAGGGGAAATGTAGAGATGGGGCAATAGGGTCACTAGGGTCAGCAGAGGATGGAGGGTGGGCTGAGGGCAGTTGAGAGAGTTAACCAGGGAGAGGCCACAAGGCAGGAATGTAGGAGCTGCGGCTTTTTGATGATACTTGTGACCTCACAGATGGTGTAAGTAGAATGCTGTGAGCAGGACACCCACAGCCTTTAAACCTAATGGTCTGCAGGAAGCTGACCTTCAGTGTGATTCCCTATGAACACTGCTTCGAAGCAGAAACATCTCAGGGTGCCATATATAGTCTCTGACCCGGGGAACCAGCAGTTTTCTGGGCAGTAGTAGAAAATCAAGGTTGCTGTTAAAAATATTGCATATAGGGGCGCCTAGGTGGCTCAGTCGGTCAGGCGTCTGCCTTCGGCTCAGGTCATGATCCCAGGGTCCTGGGATCTAGTCCCACATCGGGCTCCCTGCTCAGCGGCGAGTCTGCTTGTCTCTCTCCCTCTGTCCCTCCCCCCACTCTTGTGCATATGAGTTCTCTCTCTCTCATATAAATAAATAAAATCTTTTTAAAATTTTCATATATACACATATATGTATATATACACGTACATATATATACACACAAAACATATAACATACAAAACATATAGATGACACATTGATATATAATATATGTGTGACAACTGTAAGTTGTTTCTTTTGTACAGCCCTAGGCCTTGAAGGCTAGCCAGGGTGTGACTGTGTTATACCATTGCACCCCTGCTGCTGGGGATCCCGCCACAAAACCTTTTTGAGGTCACCAAGCTTTACTGGAATAATGCTTGTTTACATGCTTCCTTGGCAGCCAGATGCTTGCAGAACTTTCCCTTATATGGATTCCTGTTCACTGCCTGTGCCCAACCACCTGCTTAGCTGTGTAAGCAAATGCTTGTAAAATCTCCTGGGAGAATGATCATAGATAGGGTCACATCTGCTAGGACTGGGCATTCAGGTTTCCAGGACAAGGCATGTCCTAGTTGCCTAGAATAGAGATAGTAGAGGGCTAAAGGTACTTGAGATTACTTTACCCGAGTTATTATTTAAGTTCCTGCTTCTGTGAAAGCCGATATTCTGAGCACACTGTTAATAAATTCTGAGATTCTATTTCATGGGTGCATGTCTTGAAAGTAACTTGAAAATGGACAAATACCCTCCATGGAATAGAGAGGGTTCACCGGGGCTGCCGTCCTGGATGAATAGACTCAGAGCGGGAGAGTTGAAGAACCCAGTCCTGCCATGATAGAAAGGTCCCAGGGGCACAGGCTCAAGAATAGGCAAAGCTGTGGTAAACCAGGAATATGACATCCCATAACATTTTCATCCAGTGGAATTTAGCATCAAGCCCTGTTGACAGGAAATTGCTCTCCATCATAAGAGGCCAGCTGCTAGGTGGTCCAGGCATAAAAGCAGAGAATAAAATAACCTCAATCTCTAGATCACTCCGGAATTGCTCTATGTTTTTGCTTTTTTGTGAAATATTGCTGCTATGAACAATGGGGTGCAGGTGCTCCTTAGGATTATTGCATTTGTATCTTTGGGGTAAATACCCAG